TGGGTGTTGGTATTCTCTTTCATATATCCACACCCACATCCACACCCTAGACAAATAATGCTTTTTATTCTAATATTAATATACCTGTCCAATTTTGTCATATCGTTTTTTTTCAACAAAAAATATCTAGCATAAAAATAAACTTGACTAATCAACACAAATATTGATTCGAATTCAGTTTATTTTTCTTATTATTGTCTATGTCAAAAATTTAATTCGATGACTAATAACAAATAAAATTAAACATTTTGTTCTTGTTGTTCTTCGTTTGATAGATCGCCTTTCGTGGTGGTTGTATTACCATCCATTTCTATTTGATTGTCATTTAACTTTTTTCGTTGTAATACAGGAATGGCAAAGAGTACGATACCACTGATAACAGTACAAGTACCAAAAATAAAATATGGCCAAAGAAACGGTCGATCAAACTTAGCAAAAGCATCTCGCATGCCACCTATAAATAAAATATGGTGAAAGAAATATAACAAAAACAAAACAAAAGAAAATTTACTAGACTACATAAACACTTACCCACAATTGGTGTTCCAATGGCAGTACCAATACCAACAAAAAGTAAAAAAACACCGAATGCATCCGACAGTTTATTAATACCAACTAGATCAATAAGAACAATTGATGTTAAAGTAACATAACCACCTGAAAAGAAGCCAAAAGCAGATGCATAACCGATATGTAGAAAAACAGAAGCACCACATAATGGAGCAACCATTGTAGCAACACCAGAAATAATCAATGCTACAATGAAAAACACAAGTCGATTTACCTATAAAATAAAAATGATTTTATCAAATATTAAATCTTCATATCGCAAAGTTTTCTTACACATTTTTGATCACCGAAAAAACCGATAGTAATACGACCGAAAATATTTGAGAAACCAATTGACATAACAATATATGATCGATGATGTATGGTAACTTTTGCATCATTTGCAAGATCATCAGCAAAATTGTAAATGGCATTGAAACCAAGACTTGTAAAAAAATTCGATATAACAAACAATGTAAATGCAGGATTTTTTAGTAGACTAAGATCAATTTGTTCGATAATTTGACGAAGCAAAGATTTGTTTGATGATTTTTCAATGATGTCAACTGAAAATATTTTGTTTTAATTATTCTCGAAAAGAATTCAACAGACGAATTTACCTTCCTTGGCATCCGTTTCTGACATTGATTTTTGTTGACCTTCTTTACGTATTTTTCGTTCTAGACGCCGTTGTTCACTAGGTTCTTGTGGTAGAGGACGCTAAACAAAGAATTTATCTTCTTATAAATTGACTAGAAGGTTTTTATTTATTTAAAAAATTCATTTTCTCGTCCAATTACAAACAAAAACAATTACCATAAGGTAGCCACATAGAAGACCAATAATGATAATACAACATTCAACGAGCAATGCATTTTCATACTTGATCCATTTCTTTACATTGACGATTTCGTTCATGATATAAGATAGTAGAGTTGTACCCACGCCTGAACCACATACAGCCATACCCATAGCAAATGTGCGCTTTTTTTCAAAATAAAATCCGACAGAGACAATAGCTGGCAAATACATGAGTGAAAAACCAAGACCTGAAAATATCAACAATATGAATAATATTTAGAAAATAATTCATATCTATTACAATTATCGAGAAAAATTTAAGTTCCAAGAAATTTTCGTAATGTAAAAAAAAAAGAAAGTTAATTATCATGAAAATGAAAAATCGTATTCAAGGGAAAAAAGCAATGTTCACAGTTTTCCTAATTGATTAATCATATAGAACACATATATAGTTTATCAAAACATTATTCATTCATCCATACGAGTCTAACCTATTTTCTATTACAATAAAACCTCTATAATGTGAACACCAACAGGACCAAAGAAAAGCATTCATAAAGGAGAGGATCAATGGATTTTATAGAAAAATATCTGTTTTATCATATTCTGTCATGTAAGTGAAGTTTATCCTTTTATTTGAGGCATGTTTTATATTTCTCACACTTAATTTTCTTTAACTAATTAGATACAATATCATTAATATTAAATCAAAATCCTGTTTTTAAAAAATTTCGAATAGATGTTTGTTTTGCAGTATTTGTATCTAAACACACATCAATGAGCTTCAACTGTAGTCGTGCTAGATATGCGTAATATAGTTTAGGATATTGAGAAATGGGTAGCACAATTTCTAAATCATTCTATCTATCCATTACTATCTTTAAAATTTGATGAATCATCTATTTCTTGGTACTACTGCAGTTTAAGTACAGTGCGTTATCCTCACTCTTTGATGTGTGTTGTCAATTAAGTCAATTAATATACGGAGTGTACTTAATCTGCAGTGGAACCCAATTATATAATTGGGATCCTCTATAGAAGTTTAGATTATATATATATGCATTCGGGATCGAAAAAATACATTCATATTCAGAATTA